CGAAGTAAACACAACCATTTCACCCGGGGTTAGTGTTTAACGCGTTCTGCAACTGTTGCTGAACGCGTTAAACACTAACCCCGGGTGAAATGGTTGTGTTTACTTCGACACATTTGATACCTGATTTGAAACAACACGTGAGAGTTGTCTCGCGTCGTGATAAACCATGTTCTGTAGAATTCCAGGTTCATTCTTCGAGATATACCGACGTGGGTCGGTCGAAGAGTTATGAACAGTCAGTCGTGATTGATCAGATTATACCAGAAATCTTGTGAGTATTTGTGCACTTTTCCTTGTTCCAGCTACCATAGCATCGACCCACGTTCCATTCTTATATCTCAATAAATGGTGGGTTCATGAACTCAGAGACCAGACACGGCTTGGCTGATCGTTGTTCACCTGCCGTGTGCAACGTGAATTTCTTCAATGTGATATAATAGTCTCATCTAAAACACATCAGGCATGAATAACTCATACAGCGGACGCGGTGCGCAAGCGATTACATTTTATTCACAGCATTCGGACACTGGTTAATGGTATCTCATACCCTTAAGGGAAAATCAGAGATAAATTAGTTCAGCGAACTCAATAAAAATCCGTTTGATAATGAGTTGAATAGTCATCATACATAAGATTTGGCTTGTTTATTGAAAAATTACGGGAAAATAGAATTGGCATAATGGTATTTCACGCAGCAAAGTACGGAGGGTTTTGGCCTATCGACACAATATCTTCCAGATGCAACAGGATATAACACAAAAGAGGAGAACTTGGAATAACGCATCTGTTAATAGTTGGTTCAACCAATCACGGTGAAATTCGCTGAGCCAAATTTTGTTTCCGAGTTCCCGCTATTCATTTGATCGTCCACAGTGAGGTAGTGGAATTGAACAAAAAGCTGCTAGTGATAGGCAGATTAGGGAATTAGAATCTACGGTAGATGCCTAAACCGATGGAGCGTCGGTTATTAGAATCTGTCTACAGAAGCGATGAACGAGGTATACAACATGTCAATTTACCAGAGCAACACGTATAATTTGGCGGTTAAGGGGAAAAAATGAGTTGGTGGAGAAAGCCTGCTTCAACCCATATGCACGAAACTCACTTCAATGAAGAGTAGCTCCCCAGTTTTGTCCGTACCACGGTAGACCTCGTACGCGCGTTGGACAGTAGCGCGACTCTGAAGCGTTTTCAAATCGATATCATTCCCGTACTGAGAGGATAGAAACATCATCACTTTAAATGAGTCTAGCATCCAGTGAACACAGGCGATAATGCATAACGCTTTTTTTTTGTTATACACAGCCGTGTGAAGAAAAGCAGAAGAGGTGGAACCTATAGTCACGAAGATGAAGTGGCGAACCCAATAAGATCCCGCTAGGTCAGGCGTGGCTTTGAACCGGACAATAAAAGCTGCGTACCATCAAAGTAGGGGGGTCGAACATCGGACGAATGGGTCCAAAGCACGCCGATGACAGCGACTAAACCATTACGCAAACACCACCCCATGTCATACCAATCAGAAATAAAGTTTTCCTCTCAATTTGTGTCACCTTATCGTCGTCTCTCAATAATGTGAACGAAGTGCTAAGCAATAATATGACTAAAAGCTACCCCGTAAATAAATACAACGATTTAAAATTGACTTGATTGTGTACGAAGTCAGTTAGCATAAAGTGAATTATATGTGAGATAAGATGTATTCCGATGCAAACACTATAAATTAAAAACAATATTGAGAAAACGAGGATGGAAACCAGTAACCATAGAATGTGCAGAGCGATGGGAGAAATCCTGTTTCAATGTTTAAGCATAAACTGAGCGCTTTCGTGCGACGGTTTTGATTGCTATCTATCGGATGTCCCGAACAATGAAGAAGCAGAGCACAATAAAGCTAGGTTGCACGATTTATGTCAAGACAGATTTCCTTGAGTCGCAAAAAAGAAAAGTTTATATCGTTGAAAATCCTAATGACAAGGAGGCAAGGCAGAACGATTCGCACGACCGTAGACCGCAAGAGTATGTGGACGGATCAATAACTATATTTTCGTATTTTCGTAACAATGAACTACAAACGCAGTAAAAAACAATCCGGTTGCACCACCAGGTTGTGCAGTGGTGCGTAGACAGAAGAGTTCGCGTATCGGCAGTCTACCTTTTTTCCGTTTCCTCAATCACCAAGATTTTGCGCTCTATAGCAGAACTGGACAAACTACCACACCATTCACTCGACTTTTCACAGACAGCTGGATAATTCAGATACAGACAGTGTAACACCCAGAAGCAACTCGACGCCACTATCCTCGTACGAGGATAGGGTTGTTAAGGAATCAAATCCATGACAAAGTTAAATGGAAATGGAGATAAAGAGAGAGGTGAACCCCGACGAACACTACTTTCTGTGGCGAACCAGGGCGAAGAGACGCCGCAAGCTCGGACTCGGCTTCAGCTGTTGGTATAAAGAGATCGTACTATTGAAAGAAACTTCTGGGATACGCTCTTCAGGTAAAGGCAGTGCCGAAGTTTAGAGCGGTTGACTGAGTCGAAGGCCGATTTCAGATTGAGGACGATAGAGATAGTGGGTCTAAGAAAAGAATGTGTTCTAAAATTTCGTGAAGGGTGACAATATGATCTATAACATCTTGACCAGGTCCAAAAACAGCCTGAGTCACATGCGTGCACTCTTCACGGAATGCGATGCCAGTGAGAAGTTTAGGGACGATGTTAATAAAACTGATTCTCGTCAATCGGTAAGATAACCAAT